AGCCTCCTGTATATATTTTGTATATACTTATCACATATTAGTTCATAATGAAACTGTGATTGCCATTCATATTACTTAACGCTTATAAATTATAATCAATAATTAATATACATTATCGGTATTAAAACACATGTAAAATGAAGAAAGGGATATTTAAAAGTCACTATTAAAATGTAATTGCCTTAACTGGCATTAAAATAAAAGTAACTGATTGTGTATTTAAAAATATACATTATGACATAATTTATTTAAATATCTTATCGAAACCGATAAAAATATGAATTTCGGTGACAAAAATCTGTATTAGAAAATATTGATTTCTATTTTGGTACCGAATACCGGTTTTAGTTTTGATTTTGATTTTTTTTCGGTTTATATTGGTGTACAAAAAATTGTTTAAATACTGATTTCATGTCCTATCTCCTACTCGAGTTATTTGTCGCCGCTCAATATCATTTTATTTAATCTTATATAATTAAATATTAGAACATAATTGTCTTTTTACAGAATACATGTATCGATTAGACAACATCAGTAGGTACGCTTGTCCAAATTTTGGTTGCACAAGCAGCTACAAACATCGCCCTGATTTAACTAGACATTTAAAAGTCTACTGCGGGAAAGTGCCAAAGTTTCAATGTCCATATTGTTACAAAAAGTGCAAAAGACGGGATAATTTAAGGAGTCATGTAGTGTTGGTACATAAAGTCATGATAGATAAATGAGATATGCATTGTTTTGAAAATCATACATATAATCAATGAGATTTATTGAGTTTAGATAATTTTAATATTTTAATAGATGAGTTTAAAACTAATTAAATTTTACTCAACTTTTATTTTAGCCACAAATTTCTATTACCTTTGTTTAACTAATTTTAAAATATAAATTTTATATTTATGTATTATTTTATTTTATGCATTATTTTATTTAATGCTTTGATTATTTTGTTAAATATAAATCATAGGTTTAACAATATAAAAATAAATAAATCATTGGAATATGGTTTATTTTTTATGAATTGTTTTATATCACCACATATTTATTACTTGAATTTATCCATAAAAGTTTATTTTTTGCAATTTTATTATAATACAAGTAAAAATAAATAAATAATTTTATGTGTAATTAGTAGTATTATTAGTTATCAAAAATGTTAAAAATGCACTTAATACAATAAATATTGTAAAATTATTTACTATATTAAATTATTTAACACATAATTTCGATGTTAACATTATGGTCATAGAATTTTTTGAAAATTTTCATAAGTTAATTTTGGTATTATTTTTTTTTTAGTAAAATAACACTACATGCTATTATAACACATTACTTAAAATGTGTATAATACTTCCAGTTATCAATCTTAATACAAATAAAAAATAATGACTTATTTGTTAATTTTTAACTTTTTATAAACCACATATAATAACTTGTAGTAAAAGCTGTATTTTAGTCTATGAAAATAATTTTCATAATTATTAGATAATGATTATCTAAAATAATATCCAGCTTAACGATTATCAACAATGAAGTTAAAAGCACAATCACCTAATCACATTATACTTATTTTGCATAATATATATATGTCCTAATATATTATATTAGGAGTAAACTATTAAAAGATCACTTTTGTTACCGTTATAAAAGTTGCACGTTGAATTACTATGTTTAGTTCCAAAAACGTTCTATTAATAATATTTAATTATTTTTCAGGTCAAAACTACAAGCCATATTATTGTCCTAATCGTTGCGGTAGAGCCTACAAGAGGAAAGATAGTGTCTCTAGACATTTAAAATACGAGTGTGGCGTGGAACCAAAATTTCATTGTACTTACTGTCATAAACAATTTTCTCAGAAAATTCATCTGAAGTCTCATTTATTAGGCATACATAAAATGTTTTCATAAAATTTACAATAAAAATTTTTTTTTAATTTTTAATACATTATTAAGGTTTTTACTTTTCTGAAAAAAGTTACTTATTTATGGCAATAAGATATTAAGTTATGTATTGTATAATTTTACATTAGATGAAATAAAATTAATGATAATTTAAAAAAAAAACTTAAATTAATATTCTCATGGTAGTGAGTTTATGATAAGATTGAAACGCAGACTTTTTTTAAATAATACATTTGATATTTAAATTGGTATTTGTTGATTAATTTTTAATTTATCCAATTGCGTGTTAAATAAAAAATTGTTTTAATTTATTAAAAGAGTAATTATGTGTGTAATTACTATATTTCTGTTTTTTCAGCAAACAATAAACCTTTTTTGTGCCCGAACAAATAATGTGGTATATTATTTATTTTTTTATTATTACAAAATTGGATGAGTTTAATGCTCTTAATAAAACTATTTTAACTGTCATTTTTTCCTGTGCAATTTCATCTTCAAGTTAAAGATTATAACATTTTACTGTTAAATTATTAATAAAAGTGTACTAATTATGTTACAGAATATTTATTTCAAGACATTACCTGTTACAGAATAAACGTACATGAAATTATTATTAATATAAATTTGAATTTTGATATTAATAATAGTATAAAGATATAAAACTAATAAATTTAGTTAATAACTGCAATTCTAATTTTACCTGTAAAATACGTTTCTTGTGAAAGTAGAGAGACTTTGAAGTTTAGTTAAGGAAAAAGGGATACACTATCTCTTATTCTTTTCAGTATAGAATTGGAAAAAGTAGTAAAAGATATGCACGAAAAGGCCTTAAATGGTAAGGGGACATTGTTAGCATATGCTGACGACATTGTCACTCAAAATTAAGTAGAAGAAAGTACAAAGAAATTGTACCTTAAAAAATCACGCTAAGTTAGGAAACGGGTTCCTATTGTTCTCATTGTTTGTAAAAATTAGTTTGTTTCCTTACTTAATGAATACTACTCTGTTTATAAAAAATGTAAAATTAGTGTAAAAATGTTAAATTTATAAGTATAAATTTGACTAAATTGATGACTAGTGAAAATTATTTTGCCAATTTAGTCATTAAATTATTAAAAGACGATCATTTATTAAATAATTGTTAGATTAATAAATGAATACTTTTTTTTTATCATTTTTATCGAAATAAGTTGTAATTATTATTTTTGATTTTGGTTTCTGAGAATATTAGTCCCAAGTTGTATACCATAAAACTTGTTAATAAATAAAAATTATTATTTTTTCCATTAACTCCTAATCTATTTTAAATATTGTTTTATTGCTATCGCAAACTTAGTTTAATAAAATTTAGTTAATTGTTTATTTTTCAATCTTGACAAGAATAGTTACACAGATCATATTTATACCATGGAATGATACATGATGTCCAGTAGTTATTGGCACCTTTTAAATAATTGTATTTTAGTAACAAATTAATATTTTTGTTGTAGTAGTTCCAGTACGTGTGTTAAAAAATTATTTATGTCGTGATTTTATAATTTTTTTTGAAATCATTTATATTCATTAATTACTAAATTTATTACTTTATAGAAGGTGAACGATGGATTTGTCCTAACTTCTGTGGTCGAAGCTATAAGCACAAAGGACACCTGAGCTTTCATGTTGCTCGCGAGTGTGGTGTAGGCCCACAGTACAATTGTGATAAGTGTTTGAAGTTTTTTAAGCGGATTAGTCATCTGAACAGTCATTTGTTGTCATGTGGCAATACTACACCACAATTTCAATGCGACATTTGTGAAAAGAGATTCACGCGTAAAGACAATATGAAAACCCACAAATATTCTGTGCATAAAGTAGCTAAATCTTCAATCTAGAGTTATTGAATTAAATTTCTGTTAAATTAAGTGAAATTCCCTAGAAATAATAATTTTCTTTTTATTTGTTTATTAGAATTTCTAGTCACAGTTGAACTTCAATTATTTATTTAATATATACCAAAATAGTACTAATTGGAGTTTAATGGCTATATTTATAGTTGATTTGTAATAATAAATTTTGCTTAAAAATAGCAAAATTTTTTCAATTTAATCAACTAGAAATATGACCCTTACAGTCACTGGACACTAGTTAGTAGTCTAATAATTTATATTATATAATAATTGTTTGTTTAAGGTAAATAAAATGTATAAATGTTGATAAAAAATAAATAAACATTGCATAAATTTGTATTAATAAGTTATAATTATTATTTAAGTGTCAGTACCTTTGAAAAAAAAACAACAAAATACACATCTTGTACAATATCTATTTAAAATAATATTACATTTAAATAATTTACTGATGTTTCGCTAAAGATTATGGAACATGCAAATTTAGGTTTATTCATACATATTTTACATTATTTTTAATTTGGCACAAGTTTTATGTAAACAGAGCAGCTATTTAACATGATTACTCAATCAGGAATTAACAACAGGCGCAATACAGCACCAGTACTGACAGTTCTGACGTAGTAGCGGCAACTGGTATTGTACCAATATTGGTATATGTCTGGTATGATCACGTTTCGCTGTACTGTCAGATCAGTACCAGAGGTTTTGTTTAACTAGTATTATGTCAGTAGTTTGCCAGCAATGGCAGCCAATACTGAATCAGTACTTAAACAAGACGCTAGCCGTGCTACACTAGTACGGGGCTAGCCAGTGCTTAGTTACCAGCACTGGTGCAATACTTCGCCCGTTGTCAATACTGATACTTTTAAAAATGTTTGCTTGGGCAATAATAACTAAATAATTTCAATGCACAGTTCGTTAAAAAAAAAAACTAAACTTATTTATAACTATTTTTAGGTGAAGTTAAATGTATTCAACTTTCACAGTCCAAAGAAAAATTTGAAAGAGATGGTCGTAAAAAAAAAGAAATTTGCGCCATTTGCTCAAAGACATTCACTCGAGCATATAACCTGAGTAGACATTTACTCACACATTTGCCGCCAAATGATCCTCTTAAACAATTTGAATGTGATCAATGCAAAAAAATGTTTTCTAAAAAACAAAATTTAAAAACTCACAAAGCCCTTTTACACGGAATTTTGGAATAGTTTTGTTGCATTTTATTGTATATGATTTTATTTAATTTTTATCAATACCTAAAAATGGAAATATTTTGTATTATTCATTTGGAAAAAAAGTTATAGTAAAGTAGTTATTTTCTTCGGATATATCTACTTCATACTGATTAATTCATTGTAACGCCAAACAGAGTTTTTATCCGAAAAATAATTGTACTTATTATGTAATGATTGAAAAGATTTTCAATTCATTATACTTTTTGTAATAAAATTTGTGATTGTATAAAAAAAGTATTGATCCAATCGTATATGGTATTTTTTTCCCTATAATATAAAATTACATCTTCCTGTGTAATAATAAATTACTAGAAGTGGCATTCTTCTTAGACTATTGAAAACAAAACGTGAACTATTTTGATCCTAAAAAGTTTAATAAGCCGCAATGGCCTTTAACATTCGTAAAAGAGATTAAAAAGAAAATTGTAGTAATAATTTTTTAATACTGTTTTTCAGTAATATCAAACTAACATTATTTCTATTTGTTGAAAAATTGACTATTTAAGTTAATCAGAACTAATTTAAATGCCTTTTAATTAGTTAGCTTCCTGCCATCAAACTGTACAATTTTTAATCTATCTATTTTTCTATCTTTTTAACAGAGAAACCTATTTTCTGTACGAATGGTTGTGGAAGAAGTTATATGCGCCGGACTAGTATGCTTAACCACATAAGATATGAATGCGGCGTATATCCCAAATACTCGTGCAATGTCTGTGGCAAATTGTTTGCTCTAAATGCTAGTTTGAGAAGACATCAGCTATCATGTCTGAACGTCCCTCCAGAATTCAAATGTGAACTGTGTGCAAAAATGTTTCGACATAGAGACAAACTAAAATATCACAAAGCACTTCGTCATAATATACTCTAATACTATTTTATATATTAACAGTCACTTAAGTTTCACGAAAAAACAAAAATTTTAAATTCTAATTATTGTTAAAATAATTAGGTATTGTTAAAATCAAATTTTTCATCATATATTTCACATGGGATAATGTGATACGTTATATTTATAATTTGCATTTTAATAGTTAATAAAAAACGAATAATAATTTTGTTGTTATGAAAAAGTATTATGTAATAAATTTTTTTTGAATTTCTTCTTTAGTTAATTTTTTCCAACATCAGTTCAATACACATTTTGATAAGATACCTACGTTTAAAATAAGTTCTTCATTTTGAAACCTTAATTTAGGCTTTAATAACATACATCGATGTATGTTTAATCGTGTTAATATTTCTTGAAGTATAAATACTATTTATACAATTTGCATACTGATTTGAATATTGAGGAAATACCGTATGAACGATTTAATTAACTCTAGCACAATATAACTTATTTTAAAATTACGTTTTTATTTCTTCATTATTTATATTTTTTATTATGACAGGAAAAAGCAGCTTTTAAAATATTAATTGTGTATTAAGGATAAATTTTCTAACTCTACGTTATCATTTTCTTTTAGAAGATCTTTCGTTTCCTTGTTTAAAACAATGTGGTCGTATTTATAAGAGTCGAAAAGCAATGCTTAATCATATAAGAGACGAGTGCGGAATTATACCTAAATATGCATGTGGAATTTGCCATAAACTTTTTAGTTTGCGAGGAAATATGAAGAAACATATGATCAAGTGTGGTCAACGTAAAACCAGAATTCACGTTTAATTATTGAGAAAGTGGCTCTATGTCTTTAAAAAAATAATAAAATCTAAAAGTGATATGTTGTTATATTTTGTGTATAAAATTATGTGATAATTTTTTTTTGTTAATTAATTAGGTTATTTGTCAATTCTGTAGATATATGATTTTTTTTTTTAATTATAAAATGATAAAATATGTAAAATGAAAAAATTATTTATTTTGTCAGTGGTCCCAATTACAATTTTTGATAAAATTTATTTCACTTCTATTGTAGTGTTAGAATTTGTGTCTAATAATAATAATATATTTTAGTATTTATTTCGTCCGGTATACTTTCAATATTAACTATTAATAATATAAATATTAACATAAAAAAATTATCTCTCTGTTTTTGTCTTAGTAATGCTATTTTTTACTGATATTTTACGCGCTCTTTATATAGACTAAAATAATATGCAGAATAAATTTGATTTAAATATCAAATATTCACATTACTATTAAACTCGAACAGTCAACAAATAATCATTAATAATACGTAATTATGTGTACGTTAAGTTACGCTAGAAATCAAAAACATCTAACCAGTTTTAAACTATTGTGTCCATCCAATACTCTTAATTAGGAATTAAAAATATTCTATTACTCAATATGTTGCGAATCAAATTTCTAAATACTCCATCTACAAATTTAAATGTTAGATTGTGCTAAGAAAATAGTTAAAATGTGATAAAAATGTTTACTACTTTTAATGAGTTTCGTTTTATTTTATTATTCTATAAAATAAATCAAGTTAACTTTTTTAAATTACTTATTATTATTCAGGTACGGATTAAGCCCTATATAGGCCCCGGAGCGGTACCCTGAGACGGATAATATTGTTATCATAAAAAATGTGATCAGCAAAAAAAACCAGAAAATCTTTGTCATCATTCATGACTAGACTAGTACAATTCAAGATGGGCTCCTTAAGCTCGTGAGCCCTGCGGGGTATGTCCACCCTTGCCTCTCTTTAATCCGGAGCTGGTATTATTTGTTATATTTTTCATTGAGTATATAGAAAATAATAGTTAATTTCCAATAATTATTATTATTAAACAAGTTTTTGTTTGAATAGGACACACCTAAAAGTTGTATCAGGTTTCTAATCTCTATATTTATTATTTTTTTTAATCGATTCCCGTGTTTTACTTTTATTTATAATTTGTTAAAAAGGGACGGCTGTAATGTGTAAATAAATGTGGTCGAACTTACAAGAATAGAAAACGTATGCTTAAACATCTGTTCGGTCGTGACGAAACAGTTTGGTGGGTGAGCGCCGGTTTTTTATTCTCTTCAACAAGAGCGCGACCTGTCACAACTGGTTTACTTGTTGGGGTAGTGTGTGGCGGTGGTCGCGAAGGTGTCATTCGCGTATCGGCATGCCTAGAGTGGTTTTGTGTATCACGGACTCAAGTGCGTTATTTTGTTGGTTTTGTTTTCTTTGACGGTTTTATGTGTTCAATTCACTCTGTTGATTGCATCGGGCTCAACTGCTTTACTTGACACATTCACCATCTTCATTTGGGTACAGAAAGCAAGGTCAGACTATACATTTTCTGTTTGTCTAAATATTAATTGCTAAGAATTTATATTGTTGTATCTTAGTATATTAGTTTAAATATAAATACGAACAATAGATTTAAGATAAACCATTGTTGTTACTGTATTAGAGAATACATATTAAATTCGGTAAATAAATTACAGTCCATTAAAAACGTTATTTTTTAATTTTATTTAAAGGAACCTTTAGAGACGTGATTTCATTCGGCGATTGGTCGTCCGAGTATTTCGCGTCGCACAACATCTAAGATATGAATGTGGTGTATTTCCTAAATATTCGTGCAATACGTGTGAAAAGTTATTCGCTCAAAGTGCAAGTTTGAAAAGACATCAGTTGTCATGTCTCCGCAATTCCATTGTGATTTGTGCCCAAAAAAATTTCGTCAAAAGGTCAAATTAATAAACCATAAGGCAAACATTCATAAAGTCATTTAATACATTGTAAAATAATAATTGAATATTAAACTTTTTTTTTTTTTTTTTTTTTTTTTAATAGTATTTAATTTGTCACAAAAAACTTGTCGTTTGTTAAAAATAAATGATATCTACTTTATTTTGAAGAAATATTCTAAAAAAACTTTATCAGGGTAAATAGTAAAATTAAATACGATAAAAAAATGGTTTTAACTTTTTTTCAGTACAATTAAGTTATATTACATTTATTTTATTTTAATTTTGTTAATTGTAAATGTACTTTTTTTCTCAGTTTAAATTTTGTACATTTTATATAAACTGTTAAATAATAACTTTGTAAATAATTACTTATACAATAAATTATATGAACATTTATATTAATGTAGATATAGTAATATATTTTTTTTTCCTAATATTATAAAATGGAAATTATGTTAATGGTTATAGTGGTAAATATTATAACAGTATTGTATTTTTATCTAAAGAAAAAAAATTATATTAATTTTAATTATTATATTATTTAATTATAACAGAAGAAATACCATTATTGGACAGCAAAGTATTCCCTAAGAGTTTATATCCTTAGTATAAAGTAAATTCGATTTATTATTAGTACATCTTAGGTGAAACAACAATAAAAATTGTCCGTGCTTTTGGTGGATTTAATTCTAAAACTGAAGGGCTATGCCCCTCTATATACCCCAGTGCATTACATGCTGTTATTATGGTAATGTAAAGTTTAAAATCAATATGGAAACGATGTACAAGAAATATATAAATCGTTGAATATGCATTAATTGAATAAATTTCATATATAAATAAGATATTATTATTATTTAAAAAATTTAAATACGAATAAATTTTCAAAAATATTTATAGTCAAATTATGCATTTATCCTTGCATAGTTATGGTTACTACTTCTATGGTTAATAAACGATTGAAATGCTCACCAGTAAACAATTGGTAAGCTATGAAGATACTGTCTACAATACAAATGTCAACGTTTATTAATCGCTTAGTCATTTTGACATTGCGCATTGGGTACACCAATTACTTTTTTTATTATATTCATGAATAATTTTAAATTTAAGAATTAGTTGTGTTAAAATGTATGAATTAAATATTGTCTATTATTGATGCTATTAAATATTATATTTTAATAATTTTAATTTTACAGATATTAAACATTATGATTGTCCTAATTTGTGTGGTCGAAGTTATAAGGCTCAACAAACTCTGAAAAGGCATATAAGAGATGAATGTTTTATAATACCGAAATACTCTTGTAGTATTTGTAATAAACTATTTAGTCAAAAAGGTACTATGGTGAGACACATGCTTTCTTGCTCTAATACACCACCAGGATTTCATTGCAACGTGTGCACTGCTTGTTTTCGTCGGAAAGATAGACTTATACGACACAAGACATACGTCCACAGTATACAATAAATTGATATAATTTATTTAAATTCGAGAACAAAATCAAGTTGAATAATTTGTTAACTACTAAAGTTTTTTTCAAGTGAAATTAATTTTTTAAGTTAAATATTGAATTTTAACAATTATTATGATGTATGTAATTATACATGTTTTACGTTATATTTACCAATAAAAACTTTAATTAATGTACAAGAATGTGTATAATATTTTTTGTGTTTAATTTGAAAATAAACCAACTAATTCAGGTGTTTTGATACCTTACTATTTGGACTAGTTCATTGTTAAAAAGTTCAGTGGAAAAAAATGTTAAACTATGTATAAAATGTGTAAAAAATTAGTTCCAAATTGTATAAAATTATAAATTAACCAAGGTAAATAAAAAATAAAAATGTCCAAAGTACACACTAAATTATAGTCTAGAGAAGACATTACAAATATTTAGCATACTAATGTGTATGTGATTTTTATTGAATACTATTGTTATTTCTAAAAATTAACCATAGCTTTATTAAATTATTTAAAGTTTATTTTAGGTGTGCTAGTTCTAATTCTTACGTTTTTTATAATTATGAATTTTCCGTTTATTTTATACTTTTAATTTATATTCATCACTTATTTTACCTAAGCATATTTTAAGCTCAAAAATCTATTATATTAATTATTAAATTTTTGTATCTCAAATACTATTTGGAAATTTGTTTATTAAAAAAAAACATTACGAGATTGCAAATGATCGTAGGTGACTTGAGTAAATAATATAAATTAATATTTTTCAATTTGATGTATGTTTATTTATAGAAAATCGATGGGAATGCCCAAACATACCACCAAGTTTAAAATGTGAATTATGTAATAAAATGTTTTTACGCAAAGATAAGCTGAAATATCACTAAAAAAAAATACACAATAAATTTTCTAAAGAAGATTATTTTAAAATACCTGTTATTCACTTGTATTCTTATTTGACACTTCATCTCTGTAGATCTATTTTGAATTAAAAAATAAAATTCATTAGTATATATATAAAAAAAAATACTATATAATCATAATTTTATAAATTTTAACGTGTAAGGTGGCTACACTGATTAACAATATATTATAATTGTTAATAGGCTGATGTTGTTATATATACAAAAAGTAGTAGTTTGAACGTTTTAAGAATTCATGTGTTCTTTTTTGTAATAAACTGTTATAAATAACTAACTGCTGGTTTCATTATTTAGATCGGTCCTTAGATCGATCTAACTAGTCTTACAAATGTTAAATTCGTTGAGTAAATTTATTTTTCTTTCTATTTTTACAGATATTTGTACATTTTTAAAAATATATTATTTAAAAGATAATTATTATAGTTAAGTGAATTAAAATTACTTTTTAATTTTATGGGTCCATTAGAGATTTCATTTAATATTAAGAGATTTCTAATTAATATGAACACAAATAATATTATTTATTGTTTTAAAAATTAATCAACTGATTCTAAACTTAATTTTGTGTAAATCAATATTTGTCTAATTAATTATTATACGTTTAAATTGTACATCAATGATTGGTAGAAATTGTGTGAATTCTTTTTGTATGTTGGTTTAATTTAGTTTTAGATATTTTACTGTATTAATTTATAAATGAATTTATTATTTCCAGAACTTTTGAATGTCTTGATAAATAAGTGGATGTGCTCAAACCAATGCGGAAAAATGTATAGACATAAAGGGGGGTTGAATCGACATTTAAAAATGGAATATGGGGTAGTTCCCATGTTTTTATGTGAGCTTTGTTTAAAACCATTTAAGTGCAAATGTCATTTTGAAAGTCATTTGTCAGTTTGTGCTAATGTTGATCCTCAGTATAGTTGTGACTTATGTAAAAAGTTATTTTGATGGAAAATTTAAACATAAGGTTTTGATTCGTGGAATAATTGACCGAAGAAAATAAATATTTTTTACAACGTTGTTGACCTTATGATTTTGAGCTCACATTAGTACATAACATTTTATGTAATACAATTTTGAAATCTTTTTATTAAATAAAAGCTTTTAAAAATTTGTTATCCATTATTAAATTTTCTTTTTTTTTAATAAAAATTAGAAAACGAATAAATTTACTTTTTGCTTTCTGCTAATTATCTATAATTTTATTATGACACCGTGTTGTTATCATTAATTTCTATTTTAATTCCCATTGAACATATAGGAAATACTAATTCAACTTAATAATATATAAATAAAAAGTTTTACTTAATCTATCTTAACTTTTTAGGAGCTTTTAAATGCATTAACGGAAGATGGATTTGTCCCAATAAATGTGGACGTAGTTATAAAGAGAAGTTTTCACTGAATCGTCATTGGTTGAAAGAATGTGGCGTAGAACCTCAATATAAGTGCCATATATGTTTTAAAACATACAAACGAAATGAATCGCTTAGGGGTCACATGGTGTTAGTACACAAAACCATTCAATCCATTACCAAAATTAGCAACTTTAAGCCTTATTATTAAAGACTAAAAATATTCATGTGAGATATGTTATTCACGACAAAAAATAATTGTAAATCCTTACAAAATTTAGATAAAAGCACTTTAAGTTTAATATACAGACGCGGTTCACTTTGCGTTAAGAATTATATTATATAATCAAAGCTAACAAACAAATGAACAAAAATTAATAAACAGAATAATAAAAACTTAAAATTCATATTAAAAAAGTTTATTATTATTTTTTTGAACATATATTTGTACTATAAAATCAAAAGTATTTATTTTAAATTATTATAAATAATTTGTATTCTTTGTTTCAAAAATAAATAACCTCTATGTTTTATTTTTGTCACATTGATGATTTATACCTAATATTATATTAAAATTTATTAGAAGAGTGAAATTGGATTATGTAGTCCTTTGTTAGATACAATATTAATAGCTAGAAAATTATTTTCTTCATTGAAATAATAAACTACTCGTTTGGAATAAATTGATGTGCTTACACCTATCGTAGCCAGTACCCTAAATTTATTAATTTATCCAATACTTAAAATTATTAAAATTTACTTACAGTTAATGAGAAATTTCAATGTTTAAATCAATGTGGACAAAGTTACAAACACAAATGCAGTATGTTAAATCACATAAAAAAAGAATGTGGCATTTTACCTAAGTATTCTTGTAATATTTGCCATAAATTACTTAGTTCTCGAGGAAATTAAAAAAACCATATGGAATTTTGTGCAAATTTACCTCCAAAATTTAAATGTCATCTTTGTTTCAAGACGTTCCAAGAAAAAAGCAAACTCAAATATCATAGGGCATGTGTTCACCATATTCTCATATGATCATTATTTTCAATAAGAGTTTTTTGATTACCATTTTTTTTTCATAAGAACAAAAAGAATAATATTTTTTTTTAACTATTAATTTAATTATACAGGGTGTTCAGTAAGTCAGGAAACCCGTTTCCTGACTTACTGAACACCCTGTATTTTATTTATTTACTTATTAAAAGGAATTAATATAAAAATATGTTGATATTACTCAGGATTTTTTGTATACCACTTTGTTTTATGTTTTATAACAATATTTAATAATAGATGAATAAAATTGCTTAAACATTTTAAATATTTTTATTTGAGGAAGGACGGTGTACTCTAGTTAGTAATGCAGCTATACCTGACAAGCACTATCTCTTGCTTGATACTTCACGATGGGCGGTGTTTTTTATTTTTGTGCGAGACTAGCTTAGTAATTAGAATTCTCTCTCTGAAAACAAATTTACCCTATCCTAAAATATGAAGAATCAAGAAATCTCCTCTTTAGAGGAAGCCGCATTATTAGCCATAAAAATTGAAAAAATAAATGTATTTTTATTTATGGTTATGTGTAGATTTATAGATATATTAGCCAAAAAAATTTTGTCAAAAAAGTAGGAATGTACTGTAAAACATTTAAAAATACTTGAATAATTGTTTCTTGTTGTATGTTCTGGTTTACTGAACGATATAATCAGGATGTCCACCTTTATATTCAATATCGGATTAATTATTTGTACCAAGTATACAATAATATAGAAATCTTATCTTTAGAGAAGCATTGGTGGACATATGTAATTTTTGATAATTTATATTTAAAAAATATTTTAACACCCCTCGGAGGAGGGGTGTATTAAAAGTCAATATACGAAAGGCAATTATATTTCCCCTCCCTTCCTTCCTCTTAATATTCCAACATTTTTGAAGAGCTTTTTTGCCCATCAAACAAATTTATTCTCGTCATTACTTTTGTTCACATATTTGGCTAGCTATTATCTATAATTTAATTTAATAAGCAACAAAACCTACGTATATTCAGTTTAATATTTTATTATTCATGTGATTATCATGAAATAAATTTTTCAAAATAATCATGAGATTTCAAATGGATGATCGTGTTAAGTGAAAGTTTAGGATAAGTGTGGCCGACCCCAAGTAGTTATGATCAAGGCGAGAAAAAAGAAGAAGTCATGAGATTTTAAAATTTTTTTTCCTAAATCGTATTCTAATTAAATTATTATCTAGATTTTTTTATTATAGATAATGGTATTTTATAGAGACGAAAATTAAATAAACTAATTTAAAAATACCTAAATCACATGAAAGATTTTATTAGTGAAATATAATTTTCATTGTGAAGCTAATTAATATTTATTTATTTGAATTACTAGGTATATGATTGAGTTTATAATTGTAACCATTCTTAATCATAATGATTATTATTTTTCAATTATTAAATTGAAAAATAATTGAAAAAAAATGCTCAACCATAGTTTCAAAACAAATACAATCGTTCAAAATTTTATACATTGCCGCTTGTTCTTCTAAAAAATTATCTATAATAAGTTTTTAGAAACCATAATAATAGTACTAAATTTTTATAGGATATGATAAAGTTCATTGTCAAAATAATTGTGGGAGGAGTTATGTAAGTAGAAGTAATATGTTGAAACATATGAGGGAAGAGTGTGGTGTCGAACCTAAGTACGCTTGTGAAATATGCGGAAAACTTTTTAGGCAACGTGGAAACATGAAATTGCACTTGTTATCATGTGCCAATGTACCTCCAAAATTCCAGTGTGACTTATGTTCGAAAGTTTTTCGAAGAAAACAACAACTTGTTTATCATAGAGGAAATATACATAAACTCATATAAAAAAAATGTATCATTTTGGAAATATATTAATAAAATAACCATTGTTACAGAAATTGCTTTTTATTACTAATAAATTACAATTAATTTTCATGCTCTAATAGATTGTATTCTTTAAAAAATTCCTTATTCATGAAATACTTGTAATAAAATAAAACAAAATAAGAATATTATTCACATTTGTTTTATTTTCTGATATTAAAATTGAATTACTGTAATATTGTGTTATTTTTATTTTTTTTGTTAAAAATGATAATATCAACAATTTATTACATAAGTAAATGATAAAAATCACAAAAGAAAAATTGAATTGCAATTAATTGCTTCATTAAATGTTTGTAGTACTTAATTAGTCATTTCAGTTTATACTAAATATAAAATAATATAAATTAATTGATAAGAGAAAGAATCTTATTTCCTCTAAAAATTAAAAACTACGTATAAACAAAAATTACATATTTATTTATTTGTATGACAAATACATACACAACATACATTGACAGGAATATAAGTATGATAAGATAAAATTAGATAAAACGGCGTATTAATGGATTTTTTTACTTTAATCTCAAAAATAAATATATTGAATGTCCATATTATCTCTAAATTATTATCAATAGATTCACGATGATAAATATAATTTATGTAAATAGTTACATAATTATAATAATATTCACTAAACTTCTTTGGTAATAGCTTTTGCTTGATATCAATTTTTACAATTCTATATTAGATGAATTCTTTCTAATTAAAAAAAACTAATTTTACATATTTTCCTATATTTTCAGTTTGTCCTTTTAGTGGAAGATTTATTTGTCCGAATGCATGTGGTCGAAGTTATAAAGAACGTCATAACCTAATGAGGCATTTAAAAAAAGAATGTGGTGTAGCTCCACAACATCGATGCGATCAGTGTTTCAAAGCTTTCAAGCACAAAGCTCACTTGAACAGACATTTATTATCATGTTCTAACATTCCACCAAGTTTCAAATGTAACTTCTGTGATAAAATGTTGAGGTGTAAAGGTTCCCTAAAAAAACATACTTTGTTGGTTCATAAAGTTTTTAACTAAATTGCTAAATAGTTGTAATTTCATTATATTTTGCTATAGTTAAAAAAACTAAATTGTTATTGTAGAAACTTTAGGCAATAGCCAAAGATAATTATATCTGTTTTTTAGTGTAATTAAAAATGTTATTAACAGTTGTACTATTTTAATCTAGTTAAATACATATAACAAATACTGAATTCTTAAATAATAAAAAATTGATACTTGTGACTGATATAGGTAATATATATTTTTCAATATTTTATGAAAGGAAAGTGTTAAAAATTGTTAACTTTTATACTACCACCATTAATTTGATTTGTTATCAAGTGTATAGGTCTAATTTTATATTTAATATGGTTTCTAAATTACTGGTCACTTGTGTAACTATTAAAAATAAACTTTTTTTTCGTTATTCTTAATAAGTTTTTTTAACACAACTAAGTTTTTAATTTAGTGTATAATATTAATACACTTTTAAAGATAACCACGAAATATATGTGTAATATCCATTTATATAATAATGAAAAAAAAAACAGTTATACAACTGGATTACATCATAGTTTACTTATAGAACATTTATTTTCCATTTTCTAATTTTGTATTTACTAATAATTTTATAATTATCATACAAGTCAAAAAACTTTATTTCAGGGACTACTGAAATTGTGAACTACATAAATACAGTACATTTTTTTAATACAGGTGAACAACTTGGTTCAGTAGAAAATGTAAGGAAGAGTGTCGGTATTTTTCTTCTCGTCTTAACACTTTATTTTGTGAATTGTATTTAAAATAAAAAAAAAACTTCATATATATTTATTCAAAATCAATAATATTTCGTTTGTGGTATTTCCACTTATTTAGTTAATTGAATTTCTTTAAAGAATAGATATACTCATGATCATCTAATTTTAAAGACAAACCTGTATATTTATTTTGATTATATATTCATTTTTGTTATACGTATCAAGAATATTATTGTTCGAAATGTTTTTATTAATAAATTTTTCGTAATTTATGTTGTTCTTTATTATTAATTAGTATTTTAGTTAGCCATTTTATCTTCAGGCTATAAAAAAATTACATATTATTATTAAAACCGTAACTTAAATAATTTAACTTATTCATTTTTGTGTAGATTTCAACTCCGTGAGATGGTTATGCACAAATAATTGTGGTCGAAGTTATAAAAACAAAGGTGATCTTCAAAGACATCTAAGAAAAGAATGTGGTGTCCCTAGACAATATCGTTGCATAGATTGTCCTAAAATGTTTAGACATTTATATCATCTTAAAGCACATCAAGTATCAGTGCACCGTAAAATTGTATGAATTTGTAATGTTCAAAACACAAGACAACAAAATCTATTAAATCTTTCATTGTTATATTGATACGACGATATTATTTTATTACTAAAAATAAGGATATAAATGTATAATCTTCATGAAATTTTAACTACTAACATTTATCATAATTACTTATTATGATAATTAGAAAATATTTATAAATTTTGGAATGTACATTAGAATTGTTTTAAGTTTAATTGTTACAATAGGTTGTTCAAAAGAAGTATAAATAAAGAAAGAAATAAAAAATATTAAGTTAAGATCTGCAATTATATGTTTAATTATTGTAATAATTTCATATTTTCATTTCCTAATTATGACACAAAATAATAGTCCACTTACTTAGTATTAACATACTTTAGTACAAAAATATATCAAATATTGACTAAAATACTAAAAAAAATTTTTTGTGGTATATATTATGGTGTAAAGAAATTAAAACTATAGTACTAATGTTTAAATTTAATATTTTTTATTGTTTTATTTAAAAAAACTAACCATGATACTTTTATAACATGAATGAGAAAAAAAGAACTTAAAATTTTCATTTAATTTATCAATTATTTTAACTTCTTTGTATATATTATTTTCTATTCATAAAAATGATTCATGTAGTATTGCTATTTTATGGACATAAAAAAATGAATTTGGTATTTGCTTTTGTAATCATCAAATAAGTTTATGTAAAATGATCTATATTATAATATATTATATAGATTAAATTAATTAATCAATTAAATTTTTAAGTTAATTATTAATATTTAATATGATTTATCTATTATTTTACAAAGTTGCGTAAGACAAATCGATCCATAAGATTAGATCCTTTTACATAACTATCTTTATGATTTACATTATATTTTTTAGGAACTCCTTGGTGTTTTTAATTTTTTTTTTCTGGTTGTACTTCAGTAAATCTTATCAAATTTAACGCTTTTTGAAAAAATTAATTTAAGTGTAACATATATAATGAATCTATTAAACATAATTATACTAAAGTTGACAGCCCTTTCAAAAATATTTTTAATTTGTAATGTCTTCTTCTCTTCTTCTTCCTCGCCTTAATGCCAACTACTTAGGGTCGGCCACCCTTATCCTGAACTTCCACTTGACACGATCTCCCACATCATCTACGCTCACATCACCTGTCCACATATCGCATTTAATAGCATCCCTCCATCTCTTTTTTGGTCTTCCTCTACCTCTTCTTCCTTCAACATTTATTTCTATAACTGTTCTTACAGCTTCTGATTCTTCTTACCTCATAATATGACCAAACCATCTAAGTCTTTTTAATTTTTTATGCCTGTAAATTAAAAATAAAGTCTTACCACCAGTGAATAATAATCATTTTTCAAATATTTTTTTTAGAAATACACCTATTTGAAACATTTTGATTTATATTAGTTGATTTTGTATTATTTGCTAGTAATACTATCTTAACGATTCATTTATAAATCTGCCAAATAAAACACTTTTGTATTTAGTTTACTATAATTTTTATATCTTTTATTAGGTGATGAATTAACAAGATGGACTTGTGGAAACGGATGTGGTAGGCACTATAAGTATAAATCAGATTTAACTCGTCACATGAAAAAAGAATGTGGTGTAGAACCTCAACATAGGTGTTTAATTTGCTTTAAAGCTTTTAAGCGAAACTATCACTTAACAGTTCACATGGTTCGTCATATAAAAAAGATATCACGACTTAATAATGCAGAATGTTATAATTATAGAACTTAACCATTATTTTTTCCTCTTAAGGTTTAAAAAAGTAAAGGTTATTTTTTTTTCATTCAGAAAATTCAAAATTAGAAATATTTTTATCATTTATTACTTAGTCAACTAAAATTATAAAAAAGTATTTAAAAAAAAAAAAAAAATAGGAGAAATATTTGTTTATGTTTATAATATTGTTTTTAAGTTTTATTTGTGAATATTTACTGTTACAATACTGAATATATTTGAGATAATAATAATTCAAGTATACTAGTTTTTTAAATAAATCTATTATTCTTTTATGTGAATTAGTAGCGATAGAAAAAATATGATTCGCTTTTAAATATGTCTAATTCATTAAGTTACAATTAACTAATTTTTTTATATTAACACACATTTATTAGTTTTATTTCTAAAATAACTGTTAAATCAATAAATTTAAAATATTACCTATCTTAATGTATTATAATTTGAATCTGAATTGTAGCATTTGCAATAGTCCTATCTGTTTTAAGTAGTTTGTATGGCTTGTGAATAAACTTTAACAAATCAGAAACATTTATTTTTTTGAGTTAGAATTGGTTTTTTTTTATGTATTGGTCTTAACTAGTTTTCTTTTTAGGACACGTAATTTAGAACAACAAATTTCCTTTGGTATTAAGTGTTTCAATGATGCGACATTAAAAAAACATTTCAAAATAAATTTGTTCTTTTTTACTCACACAATATTTTTTATAGATTATTTGAATAATAAAAAAGTATTTAAAAATATATTTTTTAGAGTTAATCACTTAGAATTTTTTCGATATTTCTATAGTTCACATTAAAAAATTTATGTGATTGTTTTTCTATATTACAAAATCTTTTTAACCAAGATAATTTCATGTATTGTAAATGTGTTATACTACTGTGATCAAAAAGTAAGATGAAATTGTTTATAAAATGAAAATTCTTTATTTATTCTTTCAAATCTATTTCTTCCCCTTCAAATTAATCCCCACCAGATAAAATGCATTTTGCCAATGCTTTTTCCAGTCCTCGAAACAATCGAAATAGTCCTTTTCCGATATAGCCTTCAAGACCTTCTTCGATTAAATTATCTCTTCAATCGTATAAAAACGATGTCCCCGTTGCACCTTTTTTAATTTACTGAATAGCTAAAAGTCGCAACGAACCAAATCAGGCGAAACGGTGGTTGCGGAACGATATGAGTCGAGTTTTTGGCAAAAAAGTCGCCAGAACCAATGCAGTATGAGATGGCGCATTATCGTGATGAAGGAACCAAGATTTGTTCACCTATAATTCCGGCCATTTCAAACGAATAGCTTCACGCAAACGACGTATAAAACTCAAATAATACACTTTGTTGACAGTTTGGCCCGGTAGTACGAATTCATAGTACATAATCAAAGAAAACTGTCAACATGACCTTGATTTTCGATTGACTTTGCCATGGTCTTTTCGGTCTTGCTTCACCTTTTGCACGATATTCGCTAGATTGGTCGGTAGTTTCAGGGTCGTATACTTAAATCAAAGTTTCGTCTCCAGTAATGATGCATTTCAAGTGGCCCTGATAGTCAGACAATAAAGTTTCACACACACACGCGACGCTTTTTTCCAAAAGATTGAGTGATTTTGGCATCAATCGAGACTTGACGCATTTGAAACACAAAATATCCTTCAAAATGGTTTGAGCTGAGCCAAATGATATGCCAACACTATCAGCGAAGTTCCTAATTGTCAATAGACGACTTTCAAGCACCAAAGTTTTTATTTCTTGGACGTTGCGTTCGTCAGTAGACGTTGATGGCCGTCCAGAGCGCGGTTCGTCTTCAACGCGTTCGAGGACCTCTTTGAACTCGTTGTACCACTTATAAATGTTTTTTTTGTGTCATAGTTTGATCACCAAAGGCAACATTTTGAACGTGTCGGCACAAGAATATTCGTTCCGCAAACAAAATTTGATGCAAGTTTTTTGCTCAACAAAAACACCCATTATAAAAATCGAAAAATTCACTTTTGGATGTTTAAAAAAACGCATATAACTTGGAGGTTATTAAAACTTTTGACAAAAGACACTTGGCACATGTCAACATTGGTAGTCCTAAGAAAAAAATTTACCTGCCTTCATAATGCCTGGGAGTTTTAAATGACTATTTCACCTTACTTTTTGATCACAGTAGTATTATACTTATAATAGAATTGATTTTTTTTTTTTTTTTTTGAAGTTACTTTCATTACTGAGATATTTTTCTATGTTATTAAAATACTGTTATACTAAAATTAAATAAATATAAATATAAACATTTTGTTGATTTTTTTTTTATATATATAAAAAAATATTCAATATTTTTTTAACTTGCTTTTTTTATACGACTATTATAGATCAAATGTTTACTCTTATAGATAACTTAAAAATGATATTACCTTCGTATTCAATTATATGCATATATTTAACAATGAATTAAAAATATCTGTTTTCATAAACATCTAAAATATAATAGTAGAAAAGAATTAGAAATAAAAAATAAAAAAATAATTAGATTAAAAGTAATTTTGTAAATTTAGTTAAAATTTCATTAAAAATCCTTTTTTAAAAACTCATTTTTTATTATTATTTTTTTATCTTAACAAAAATTATATTTTCCCAGGTATTAAGATGTTATGATTTTTCAATAATTAAGGTAGAAATTTAATTATTGGTTATAATATTCCAATAGTTTGTTCATTAAGCATATTATAGGTATTTTCGTTATTATTTTATTAATAATCCAAATTTTCCTTTATCTATAGCGTTTTACTTGTATGCATATTGTGTTATACATAATATATGAATTATCTATTTAACCTGCCTGTTCATTATTTGTGTCTGATTTTTGATTGGGCGTATAGCATTTTAAAACTTACACAAAAGAATTTTTTAAATTGTTATTAATTGCCGGAATCCAGTTATTATAAGTACTAACATAAAATTTGTCGTTTTTGATACTTACATAATTGTCACAAGAGTACCTCACTAACCAATGCTGGTAAATTAATGACGACTGCTGTGAAACAGAAGATATCGTTTTCCATGTTTTTTGTCCTACAGGTTTTTTTGATGGCCATGGGACAAAAAGTTTACTTAAGTTGCCGTGCCCAAACAATTGTGGAAGATCATACAACCATCGTGGAACACTACGCCGACACTTAAAGTATGAGTGTGGAGTTCCGCCGCAATTCAAATGTGAATACTGCCCAAGAACATTTGCACAAAAAGTAAACTTGAACAAACATCAGCTTGCAGTACATAAGAACATATTAGACGCCATGAGTATGTGCTTGGTGGAATTATGTGATAAATGAGCCTAAAATATAAACGAAACAATTTGATTTTATAGTAAAAAAAATTTAAAACGTTGCCAAAAATAAAAATAGTTCGTAATATTTTTATTGTTATGTTTTTGAGTTCAAATATTTATACTAGTGTTGAAATACTAACTTAATTAATAATTAACTGATTTTGTTACATATATTTGTTGTGATTAATTGAATATACTTATATTTATATAAATATTAAATATTGAAATAATATTATTTATGTTATTTTATTAAATATTATTACTTACAATATTTGTGTGTATGATTCACAGATTAATCAGTTATAATAAAGTTCTAAATTTCGTATATTTTAACAAAAATTATAATAAGTAATAAAATTATCTCTTTCTGATCAAAATAAGATTATATCAAACATATAATAATTAATACAGCAAATTAATTTAAAATTGTCTTCAATATTTTTATATTTTTAAATAACTGCAAATGATTACAAATATAGTTTGTCTTAATTATGTGAAATTTTTTTTTTTTGCATCAAATAAGTTTATTTATTCATTTTCAATTAAAAAAGATATTAAGAAATCATTTTGCAACAATTTAATTTCAAATTATATAAATAAAATTTATATTTATGAATTTATATGCTATATTATTATTTTATATTAGAAAAAAACACATTATAATATTTTATGTATCAAACTTTAACCTAATTCTTACAAAAATTAATGATGGTATAAATTTTTTTTTTTCAGAACTACAAATATCTTCTTGAGATATTAGAAAGTGACACAATTGATTACCAAGACTACTTGTATAATTAAATTTTATGAGAATCTTGACGATAGTTATAATTTTAACAAATATCCTGGATTGGACAAAAGTGCTTTTTTTAAAAGTTAACCTCATGACAATAATAAAGTATTAATAATCTTCTTCTTCTTCTTCCTCGTCTTAATGCCAACTACTTGGGGTCGGCCACCTATTAGCACTATATCGTCAGCAAATAACATGCACTAAGGTACCTCTCCTTGTATTTCTCTAGTAATTTCATCTATCACTATAGAAAATAAGTAAGGGCTTAAACAGAACCCTGATACACTCCTATTCTTCCCGAAAACCTTCTGTTACTCCTCCCACACTTTTTACCCTAGTACAAGTGCCATCATACATATCCTCTATTATGTTAATATACCTTTTCGGGACTCCTTTTTTTATTAATGCCCACTTTAGAACCTCTCTCGGTACTCTACCATACGCTTTCTCCAAATTTATAAATACCATACAAAGCTTTTTCTATTTTTCCCTAAACTTTTCTATTAGTTGCCTCACACAAAATGGCTCCATTGTTGACTTACCAGGCATAAATCCAAACTGGTTTTTAGATACCGATATCTCACTAATTAAATCTACCAGTCTCTCACTCCACGAGATATCCTCTAACGTCTGTTTTGGATACTCCTCATTCAGTAATTTTTCAAAATACTTTTTCCACCTTTTTTTCACATCATCATCACCACACCACCCGGTTTCCTTTTTTCTTGGCATTCTACTCTTACTCTCATCAACAATCTCCTTTGCAATATTCTTAAAACAACTAGCAAATCTATTCCACACATCATTTATGTCTCCTTCGACATTCCATACTGTCCTTTCTTTTACTGTCTTGACAAACTCTTTTTCATTTTCCCCTTTCAATTTCCACCAACAGATTTTCGATTTTTCTCCCGTGTTCCTTCTGTTTTTGTATATTCTTTTCCCGGTACACCAAAAATTCCTTATGATCTCTTGTGCCTGCAACCAGGGCACTTTCACGTTGTGACGGTTGGCAACAGAGTCATCTGGCAAAGTCCCTGGGTTAACGGTGGTGTGTTGTCATGGCAGGTACAAGTGATAAATACTTTACGATGCAGGGAACCGGAAACCCAGTATCGGCGTCTGATCAGGGGTGAGAAAGCAGGCCTTTTCTAGTGAGAAACTCGCCACAAACGTAACAAAATGAATCAGGACTTTTATTACAAAGATGGGAATTGCTTCTTGTAATAGTATACTCTTTTAGCTAAGTTTCCCACTACTGAAGAGTTGCAGTCGCTTGATGACGACGCCTGCAGGCCTACATTCTCTGCTTTGTCAAGTCATTAACAATCGTATTTAATAGATTTTTTCTCATATTTATAACTGTAATTTTCCCAATTTATTTAAAATTTTAAAACGTTAATGGGTCAATACAACTTCAGATTCAAATTCAGCGGAACAAAATACATAAAAACCATATTCAATCTGAATCCAAAAAATTTTTTTATCTTTTTCAATTTTTCATGATTTATTGCAATTTTTCGGTTTTTTCGTTATTTTTTCAAATTTTGACAACTCAACGTGCTAATTAACGTTTAAATTCAGATTCAGTAAATTGACATACATAAAAATCATACCTGATCCGGGTCCATAAAAATTTTTCATCGCTTAGATTGCAGTTTTACGCAAATTTTTGCCTCCTTGGATTTTTTGCATTTTATTCAAATCTGGGGGATGACCGGGCCAAACGGACTTCAAATTCGGATTCAGTGGGTCGAAATACATGTCCGTAGTTGGTCTGGTCAAAAGTGCGGACAACTTTTTTTTGTGTGTGTGGCGGTGTTATTTACTTCTATCAGTTGATGTTCCAACATTCCAAGTATCTATTCTTACTTTGTATCTATCTTTCTCTCCTCTAAACGAGTCCACCCTAGAGTTAATTGGTAATGTCCCTACACCATTGATACTACAAGCGTTGGGTAGACCTGAACACATGATTGGTGAAACAGCTACCACACAAGTTTAAATTTTTGTAACCAAAATTATCAATATTTGCTTTAATAGAATAAAAATTTTATATTACCTTTAGAATTTACCAAAACAAATCAATACACTTTGAAAATTCGCTTATGCTTTGATGTCATTTTTTTTTTTTTTTTTGTGTGTGTGAAGCTTACGCACATTTAGGATATATTGTCATTGTAGTAACAAAAATTAACTTTTATTTATTTACAATTAAACATTAACTAGCATTTATTCTTTTTAGCAATTTTAAACAAAATAGAAAATATTGCTACTGAGGACCCAGTTCTGTGCCCAAACGATTGTGGTCATAAGTATAAAGGCAAGTGGCGAAAGTATAACCTAAAAAATCATCTAATGTATGAATGTGGTGTGCCAAGACAGTTCCAGTGCTACATATGTAGAAAAAGTTTTGCTCAGAAAGTTGGTCTCAAAATGCACGTTCTTAAAATTCATAAAATTATCTACTCTGAATAAGTGTTCATATAAAAATGATAAAATATTTTAAGTTCAAAGGATAATTATTACACACAATGAGTAGATTGATTGACCTAATTATTCATTATTTTTATTTCATCCAATATATGTGTAGCATTATTCAAATATTATAATACTTCTGTAACATATTCTAATGAAATAATAATTATAATTCAATTATAAACAAAAATATTTATTTTATTTAATGCATATATTTAACGCGGAAATTCATAAATTTATTTTATACTTTGTTTCATAGAATATTGAAGTTTAATAAATTGTGATAATTATAAAAATATGTAAGAAATATATTTATAAATATCATATTTTTTTTTATTGTAATTTTGTTTTAGTTAAGTATGTACAAATTGTTGTTGTTGTGAACCAAGTAAATGTAGTGTTTTATAAAATACTAAAAAGTATATTTATTTTAATCATAATATAATGATTAATTTTTCGATCAGGTAATCAGTTAATACTGATGATCTTCAAGCAAGAAAGATTTTTCACTACCTCCTTAATGTTAATCCATTTTAATTCATTGTTAATATATTTATGTTATCTAGTATATGATATTCATTTACCAGAGGATAAAAAATGTTCAATAGATGACATATTGTGTCTTAATTTTACTATGTCCTTTAAAAACTTATAAACCTAATATTAGATGTTATGCTAATGAAGATCCGAATAGTTTAATATAATAATATCTGAAAAATACTTTTTATATTTATTTTCATCTAAATAATTATTTTGAATATAAAATATCACTAGGTTTTTAGACAAATTAAATAAACATAAATAGAACACTAAATTCTATTTTTTTTTTTTTTCTTGAAAATTGATAAGTCACTACATTTTTTAATGTTATTATTGACACGTCAAGAAAAGGGTATTATTTGTCACCCACTAGATGATGACTAATAGACTTTGAAAAGATTTATTTTTAGCACTTAAAAAATATTGACAAGCTATAATACCATCTTTAATTTCATTTCCATTCAAATTCAAATTATTTAAATTAACACATTTTATTAATTTTGCATTTAATATAACATTATTCAATTTTAAAGTTTATATTATCTTAACTTAATTAATTTTTAATCTGATATTATCAGATTAATAGAAAATAATCTCAAAAATACTATTAATTCTATAAAAGTAAGTACTTTAGTAGTTTAATATTTTCAATTAAATTTTTAAAAACCATTTTTTATGTATGATGCAACTGTATTATATAGTCTTTATTTTTTTATGCGTAAAATTCGATTAAATAATGCTCTTCATAATTTACTAAAATTAATTGGAATCGATCCTGTATAATAATCGATTATCTCCATACTTTTTTAATATTCTGATAATAATTTGACGTCCATTTTGGTTTTCATTAGGCATATTTATTTTGTATCCATTTTGTATTTTAGTATCCATTAAATAACTTTATAATAGAGAAAATACGGATTCTACAGGAACTTTCAATGTAAAAATAACTATTATTAAATGTTAATATCTTTTAGATTTTGGTAATTTTTATTTGTAATTCAATATTATATTACAATCCAATTTAGAATAATATAGTGCTAGAAAATAAATTATATTATTTGTTAATATTTTAATTTCAATTGATATAGGTAAATAGATCATTAAAATTACTAATAATATATACAGAGTGATTGGCTAACTATGCCTCACATAATATCTTTAAAAATACAATTGTTATAAACAATTTTTTCTTTTTAATCATTATGGATCTTTGATAAGCTGATTCATAAGAAAAATTAAATTTCTATCATCATCCCTTACATAGAACTTGTATCAACTTCAGATTTCCAAATTCCAACCCTATTTTTTTTTACTCCATTATATTTAGTTTAATAAAAAAAAAATATTTTATTTTATTTTATATTAAGCGCTTCATGGCTCTCTTAAGTTTGAAGTTTAATATGAAAATATCATAACAGATTGGAACGTTAAAGATCGTAAATCGATAAGCGCTACCTGTTTTAAGTAATAGACTACCTGCGTTATCAATGTAAATCGGTAGCTCTTATTGCAACATAAAATAATAATGTGATCGTGTTGGAAAAACTACTGCATTTTTTCTTCAAATATCGTAAATTTTAAAGTAGCGTATCTTATTTAAAATTCATAATTTTTTATTTTTATTTTTTTTTTTAACGAACAAAAATAATATGGGGTTGCCATTTAAAAATCTGAAATAAAAACAAGTTTTAAGTATAAGGGATTATGATAGAAATTTAAGTTTTTTAAAATTAAATTAACAGCTCATCAATGATCCATTATGATAAAAAAAAAATTTGTATTTAACACTTATATTTTTAAAAATATTATGGAAGACATAGTTAGCAAATCACCCTGCATATATATTTTTTAATTATGCTTTTATTCCTATAAATAATATTACTTCCTAGTTAATTACATCTGATAATTTTACTTTTTCAGGAGATGTTGTGCGTTACCAGTGGAAAAATAATTGGAATATTGGATTACCATGTATTTTAAACAGCAAGAAGTTATGCAGTAGTTTTGATAAATCTGGACTAAAATGTAGTGTGACTCATGAGTTTCGTATGAAAGAACTTGATAGAAAGCTTAGACAAATTATGAAGCAAAATAGCATCGTTACTTTAAAAAATATTTGTTAGTTAATACTAAGTAAAATATTAGAATTAGCCCATATGTTTCAATCAAATAAATCTCATGAAGATTTTGGATAAATTTTGTAAAAAAAAGGCTCAAAAGTGTAAGCTCTAAAATCAAGAGTTATGGTAGAATATTGACTTTTTAATTTTTTTTAACTGTTGACATAATTAGTTATTATGTCGAATAAGACAAATAAAATAAATGGTATGTTAACACGTAACCATCATCATGAACCTTTCACTTGGTCCTAAAATTTACACTATTTATTACTGAAAACATAATTAAAATTTTACTAATTAAACTAGTAATAACATTAAGTATATGTAGCACTCTCCATATCCAGTTTTAATAATAATAACTATTATAATAAGAAGAGTATAAACACATTTTTTAATATAAGATAATTAATACTACATTAATTATGTAGTAATCCAAATTAATATAAAAAAAATTTTAACAAGAACAATTTTAAGGAAATGGTTATTGAAGCATTTAGATGAACCCTGCTGCGTTATCTTTTGTTTTTTTATTGTAATGTTTGTAATTGCTTCAAGACTTGTAGATTGATTTGTTGTTTTTTTTTTTTAGTGTCTGTTAAGCTACCACTTCAAAAATTATAGATTGATGTATTAGACCTTTTGTACTGGTTTCTGATGTTTGATTATCAACTATCTAAGGACTCACAGGTTGATTTATAGTGTAAATACTTCTTCTTTAAGACTATCCAAGTTAGATTTATTGTCAAATTTTTTTGATATCTTGAACATGTAAAATTTTAGATTTTTTATCATTACTATCTGTCAGATTTATTCCGAAACAAATAAATCCAACTGAATTTTGTATATTATATGAACCATTGTATTTAACAGTTAGTTTATTGTCTGTTAATTTTTACCAATTGTACCACACTAAATGTCTTGGCTAAAAGTCAAACATCTTTGTTGAACGTACCTTTTTTGTTTATTTTATAGCATTTTGAGATTTTTAGCTGCAATTTTGCGCTATCATCTACTTCAAAGATTTTTTGTAGACTTGATAATTAAAAAATAACAGTTCTATAGTTAATCATTAGATGAAATCCTTGACTGATAACCATGAAGTAAATAAAATGGTAAAAAATTAGCTGAACTTTGTTGTGTTATATTAATGGTTAAAATGGTATTAGGTATTTTAATATCTCAAAATCAATGTTATATAATGCAAAATTCGTTATAACAGCTATGATTGTAGCGTTAGATTGTTCAACAATACCGTTTGATTAGGAAGTGTAAGAAAGTGTGGTTTCATTTTTAATATCATACTTGGCAAATATTTGTTGGATTTTTTGTCATGAAAACGATGCTATATTATGGTTGATGTGTGAAATGAAGTACCATACTTTAAAATTATATCTTTTTCTAGACAATTGATACATATGATGATGTTGACTGAATAATTCTTACTATAACTATAATTATAGCATGATTTATGTGAACTAGAATTTATTGCTCGTGTTTGTGATAAGATTAATTTATAAGAAGAGACGACTTTTAATGGTATTTCAGAAATTAGTATTTTACACATATTTTAATAAGATAAAATTGTTCTTCGATTGACAATTGAAAAGTAGTACATTTAATTCTGTATATTTTTACATTTTACTCCACCGCCATCTTTATCGTATGTAGTTGAAAGTTATCTTTTTGTCAAAATGGTCAGTGACCATGTTATAATTTTAGAATATCTATTTTACATGGATGAGGAATAACAATGTAGTATTGTAATTTTATAAGATTAAAAAAATTATCAGGAATATTATGTCTTTTTAATTCTTAGTGAACAATATATTTTTGTCAACCGAGAATTAATCATGTTTATTTTGAAATTGTTACTGAACGCACTCAAAAACTATATTATTACCAACAACCTCAATACCAATGCATATTATGTGATATTTTTTTCAGTGTATAATTTGAAAAATTTACTTTTAATGATGCACAATTTAAATTTCAAACAGTTAAAAAAAATAAAATTTACCACAACGCTATGTAGGCACTTAAAAATATTTGTTAAATCGTAATAACTTTTTTTATATTTTAAACAATTATCATAAGTTTTTGTCAGATACACGATTAAAATAAATAAAGAACTATGGTTATGCGTTTATGTAAACGCATAACCATAGTTCTGAACCTTACAATGTTATTTAAGAATATAATACAAAACACATTTATTAACTTAATCTTCAAGTATTACTATAATTAATATTGTATATTATTCGTAAATCACTATCCTAGATACGAATATTAGTAAAATTGTTAATTATTAGAAAGTTTTAGAAAAGTGTATGATTGTTAAATTTTTTTTTGTAAACACATCACGATTTTCTTTTATGTTATTTTTTTATATATGTTACTAAATTTTTTATAAGTAAAGTGTATTGTGATATCATTAATTATTAAATGTGACAAATATAAATCATTTCGTAGCGGACTAAATTAAATACTACAATATGTTCGTTTACATATCTATAATATTATTATTTCTTATCAATGGGTGACAATTGCTAATACTACGAATTCAATCATTTATAATCTTTCAAAGTACTAAGACTTCTTTAATACATTTTTGCAAATGTCCTTTAACTTTATCGCTGTTATAAATAATCGCTTTATAAAATAAAGATTGATAAGAAAATTTTAATAAAAGTACATGATTTGAAGTTGATAATTTTTTAGCAAATATTTTTTAAATATTTAATCAAAAAATTGAATTCTGATGTGTACCATCTAAATTTCTCGAAGATTCAATCAAATGAAAAGTATTATCATTATTTTTAATTTTTTCAAGTTTTTGTGCTACATTAACTGAGCTTGAGAAGTTGTTCAACTAGTCAATTCCAAGATTAACTCAACTTATTTTTTAATGTTTTTAGATTACAAAATAATAAATAAAAGGAGTTAACTTTAATTTATTTAATTTTAAATGTAGAATTATAGCGTGATTGTTATTTTACACAATAACCTTGTAATAATTTAAACATATGACTATTTTCCTTCTCATAAATTTTTTAAGTAAACCAATTCGAAAGTATATTATATATTAGAAACATGCATATAAACAGTGTAAATTATTAATTATACTACCCTTCATTTTTTGTAAAAGAATCATATTTACTTATAAAGTTTAATTTTATACTTAATAAATTCCACTGTTAAATTCTCTTTAATATTGAATCTGCTATGTCACTGTATAATTTTAATACATCTTTTACAGTCCGGCAATTACGCCACCGATAAAAATATTTTTTCAATAAGACATTATTGATAAACAATTTTATGTAGATAATGTGCTATTTGTTTATATGTGTCAAATGTATTGTCATTAAATGTTCATTTGTTTTTTGTTTCTTAAAATTATATTTTAGATTGCCAATACTAATTTTATCATTTGTATTGTAACTATTTCAGAAATACTTGCGAAAATGTTATTAAGCCCTCCAACTGTTTTTATGTGTCCATGTAATTGTGGTCGCAGTTATAGTTTTCAACACCAACTACAAGCTCATAATGACTTTGGATGTCCTAAACAATTTTGGAAACTACGCATTTGTAAAGTTTGCTGGAAGTCTTGTAAACCAACTTCATCATTAAGAGCTCACATGATATTGGCTCATAATGTAATTACTGAATAAGAAACTGCTTTACCATTAAATTTAAAATTACCATTTTTATATTATGTAGGTTATTTGTGATAAATAATAATTACTAGTATAAGTTAAACTAGGTGACTCATAGTGATAATTACTATTTGTTTTTAATTTTTTTTTTTTGAATATGTTCATTATCATTTATTTAATAGATTTTTAAATACATTACCTATAAGGCTATAGAGATGTTCAAAAATATATTGTCTAGTCTACCCAAAGGGTGTCCAACTTTATTTGTATAATTTTGCAATACTCTTAATTATTATAAATAAAAAATATGTTATCAATGATTTTGCATATTGTTAAACACTATTAACATGATTATTTTTACATTATAATTCCAAAATTATAATTTATGCCAACAGAATTGTTATTATTTTTACATATCTGAAGAAAATAATTAAGCTAAAAAAGAATTAATTAAAATCATTTCTTTAAATAATCATTAGCTGTACAAAAGTATTCTTGTAATGTATGCTTATATGTTGAACATATAAGCTTTTAAATTTAATCACCACACTTAATAAATATTTAGTGTTATATTCATTTGTTAAATGTTTAGGGAGATCCCTTAAATTATTTAATTAGATTTAGATTTATAAGATAATGTATTAATGTAAATTCAAATACAATATCATTGAAATACCCAGTGTATAATATCAAGTTTATTATGCATTTAATCAACACAGGTAGTTGAGTCTAGGACAACTAGAACTCTTTACTTTTAATCATGAAAGCTGTTTTAATAAAGCCTGTATAATATCAAATCCACTATACAATGATTTGGTTAGGTTTGTAGTTTTTAAAATATTGCATACATGAAATACTTAGTAATACGAATAAAACATTTTTCCTGTTAATGTAATCCTTAGTTGTAATACAAACTTCAAGACATCATTTGCATTTTTAATATTTATTCTATCATAATTTACAACATATAAGAAAATGGAATTAAGTTTGACGAACTACTTATGATTTATCTTTATATTAATTAGTAAATCTAGCGACGATTACTATACGTATAAAAAATTAAGCAAAATATTCGAAGTGGATAAAAATGTTGTGATTTAACATCGACTATGAATTATTATTGGTAAACAGTAATGATAAAAGTAAATTGTAATAAATACAATATATTCATTTATAAATATATTACTACTTTATATTGTTAGAGAAAGTAATTTAAAAAAATAAACACATAAATATATATATATATATAAATATATATATATATATTTATCAAAAATTAAATTTATTAATTTTTCTTCGAAATATGCTTAAATGTACAATATTTTTAAAACAAATCTATTAATCTAAAACAGTTGTTATCGATTAAGTATATATTTAGACACACTAAATTTTATTGTAAAAAAAAAAATCGTAGAAATTTCTTACTAATGTCGAAATGCATATATTTAGTAATATTTGGGAAATAATTATGACTCCCGTAGTCTATATGAGTACGTTTTTATGTAGCTATACAGCAACTATTTAGTATAATAATTCTTTATATGCTATATCTAATATATTTATTTATTTAATAAGTGAAATAATCTGGGTACAAAAAATATTCCATCATTATTACTATTATTGTTGATTAATACGTGTTGTTTTCACTAGAGAAGTAACTATTTATAATCTCTTTGGAGTAGTATCATTATTTTGCATTTAGGCGATCCGTTGTTATCATATTTTTTGAGTTTTTTGTCAACATTATTTTTTTATAAATTGTATAGTCCAGTTAGAATCCAGTTAGAAATTATTGACTATTTTAGTTAAATTTAAATGCTTTTATTATTTTGAAAAAATTAAATGAGAGTTAAGCAATATTTTATAAACATTTTTTGACAGTGATTAGTTTGTGAGCGTCGTTTACGATTATACTGATGTAAATACTATGTGTAATTATTTAAAAAGTTGCGTTTTTTTTATGAATCGTTTCATTGGATTTTTAATTATATCTTTAATATTCTGCGTGAAAGTGATTCATTTTAATTGTTATAATTTATTGTTGAAATTAAATCTATTTTATATAATTAATCTAAGACTTCTCAATGAAGTTTAAGTTTTCCCTCTATTTTGTTTATTGGTTCCAGTATATAACAAAATTGTTATTACAATTATTTTGATTGTTTAAGTTATACTAAAAGTTATCAAAATTTTAAGTATTTTTCACTGGTGGTGTTACCCTAGTTCATTAGTTACAAAACAAAAATAAATAATTTTTTATTAATGATACATGTTAATTTAACTTATTGTATGTTAAATTCTAAGATAGTTAATTTTATTCATTTTAAATGGTTTTCTAGAACATTTTTATGGTATAGTTGTAGGTTTAAAAAAAAACAGTAACTGTATATTTATGGATATTTAAGTTTAGATTTGGTAACACATTTACAAGTTATTTTTGAAAACTGAAAATAATTGTTAAATTGTATTAATTGGGCACAAGTTATATTGTATAAATATCATTTCATAAATTTTTGATAACTTAAAATTTATTTGTCTGAAAAGTCTTAGATAAAAGTTAAACAATCTTAAATTATTTAAAAATTAGTTTATTCTATTTTATTAGTGTTTTTAATGCAAGATTAATTTTTTCTAAAAGTGGCCAATACTAATAAACTATTTAAAAACTGGTAAGATTGATAATATGTTTTTTAAAATAATTAATTAATAATATATGTTTAATATCTACATAAAAACTCAATTAAATTTAACACCTTTTTATTTTATATAATCATAATTTTATTAAACGTTTAAAGAGATAAGTGATTTTAGACCAGAGTCAGTAATATATTTCTTATTTTTATGTACTTTTAATGTACTAATATAAATAGTAAAAAATGTCAACTTAATTTGAGTAAATATTACACCTTATGATCTTCGTTTTATCAGAATCTCCATTTCTTAGTTTAATATATATTTTTAAGTATTAAAAGAAAAGCAAAATGTTTTATTTAAAAAATCACTTAAAAGTTAAACATTATGTATGAATGAATGAAGTTCAAAGAAAGACATATAAATACCATTTAATAGAACTGTTTGGGAGATAAACTTATGCAAAATTTTAAATGTTATGGACAGAGGATTGAAGAGATATGAGCAAAATAAGCTAGCAAAGAGAAATGTTAAAAATATATTATGATTTCTTTGAGATATTAATCATTGAATGTTACTGAAATGAAATCATAATTAGTTTTAATGTTTTTGAAGAATATATACTCAATACAGTTATTTAAACTATAGATGAATTTGACATTGTAACAAGAATTGGGCTTAGGCTATTAATTTAAATAATTATAAACACTAGAAATTTATAAAAACCCCATGTATAAAATAAAAATAATTTTTTAGAAGGATGAAAACAAGATATAGTTCTCTTAAAATATTTTTCCGTCCTATGTCTATAGTACAGTTTGATTATAAAAAAATACATGTCCCTATATTAACTTTAATCACCTATATCTTCAAAACTCTTAAACCAAAATTACCTAAATTTTAACTATATGTCTCATCTTGAAATTCCATTTATCTATTTATTATATTTATTTGTTAGTATCCATAAATCTAAAAAAACATCAGTGGTTCTTGGATATTTTTTATTTAATCAATATATACAGGTGATTGGTTTATCATATACCACCCAATTAATTGCAAAATAAATACAATATTGGAAAAAAAATTTTTTATTTCTTTCAATTACATATATTTTTTTAACCTTATAACTTAATAGAGTGTCAACTTTGATTTTTCAAATAGCTACATACATATTTAACTAATTTATAAAATAAAAAATTATCTAATTAAGAAAATGATGGGTTAATAACAACTTTTCGACCAGTATTTCAGATGTTATGAACAATTATAATAATGACTGTAGGAGAGGAGTAAGTGTTGCTATTTTAATCACTAATCATTTCCTGACTGTACCTTGTATCATGGCTTCGCCCGCCTATGTATAGAAATGAGAATAACTTCTAAAGTACTGGTTCAAAAATTATTATCAACCAGTCATATTCGTAATTAAATTATTTTCTATTTTATAAGCTAGTTAAATATGTATGTTACCATTTAAAAAATTAAAGTTGACACTCCTTTAAGTTATAAGATATGATAATAGAAAGCTGATAGATCAAGAAATATATGTAACTAATAGAAATCAACAATTTTTTTTCGGTTTATGATAATCCGATCACCTTGTATATTATATTAGCCAGGATTCATCTCTGATTCCTTAACATGTGACAGTAGCATGTTAAGTTCGAAGTGTAAAACTGTTCATCATATAAATATGTATAATTTTATTTTTCTAAATAAGTATAATTTATCTAAGGTTTACTATTGCTGTTATGTGCTATATTTTTAATATTTACGGTATTTAATTTTCTAATTTATTTCTTTTATATTTATTTCAGGGATCTTAATATATAATAAATTCAAATCTCAAATTCCAGGTAAGTACACAAATATAAGTTTTTTTCTTATACAAAAATTGTGATAAATATTTGTCATCAAATTAATTGATGATTTTTAAAAAATATTAAGGATAACATTTAAATTATTATTTTAAAAACTATATTATTATAATTTGGTAGTTATTCTGTTATTTTAGAATGAATAAAATGATTTAAAATAATACAAATTTATCACATTAATTATACAATATCTAATTTTTACAATGACAGTAAAATTTAAATAATTATTATCTTGTTTAACATTGAATTATTAAGAATAATTGTTATTCAACATAAATGTTATTGATCAATGCAGTTCAAAACGGCTAAAAGAATTACTTCTTATTGATATATTTTAAATTTGTTATTATGTCAATAGCCTTATTGAAAATTTAGATAATAATATTTTCTATAATATTAGAATAATACAAATTACATTTTAGCTTCGATGAAAAGATGAGAAGGTATTGGTTTTACTATGATGTGTTTTTTTTTTTTTTTTTTTTTTTTTTTTTTT